TGGAGAAGGCGCGAACAAGGAATTGAATGGACTGGGTTTGATCGGATGGCATGGCTCGTCCATGCAGGCGGGGTCCATCTCAATGTTACTTTATATCTTCTATTCATATTAAATATATTGTTCTTTCTCTAGCCTAACCTTGCTCTACATCATGTGTTGTTAATTGGTACGATACAGTGAGTTGGCGTAGTTGATGGTGTGACTTCCACGTAAGATCTTATAGATTAGGCAGCTATATCATGACAAATCTACAAATTTAGGATTAGGTCTATTATTAGAGCAGCACTAATATCATAGTAGACCATAATTCTACAAACCCACCTGATGTCGAGGCAGTACACACTAACCTTCCTATATAATTTACCTCACCGTTAATAGAAAAAAATCTTTGAGTCCATCAAACAAATCAGGAAAGACAAAGCAAAACAATCAGGTAAAGTAGCAGTTGAAGTACTGAAGTCAGACATTAAAGTAATTGTGAAGATGTTGTACATTCTCTCCGTGAAATGTTTGAGGAAAAATAGGTACAAACAAGCTGGGAGGAGTAATTCCTCATTTATATACCGTCGTGTAAGAGCTACTGAAGTGTCACACTACTATCAGTTTGCAATAGTGTTGTTGAACAGAATGCAATGTTCAATATACGCGCAACTTTGAGATCAACAGGCCGGTTTTTGTGAGAATCGATTGCATACCTGTAGTGTCTGGTACTGTAAGATCCATTTTGAATGTTTTGTGTGTTGGTGAAAATCCCTCCATGTATATACTTGTACTTTGTTCCTATTGATCTCCTTAGTTGTACATTGTTGTCTTTTGATTACATTTGAATTGTTAATACTTGTATTTTTTATCATAGTTTTTGTTTTTCTTACGCATTCACTAGGTTTGTGTTTCTTCCTGAACTGCATCTGTGTTGTTTTACTTGACACTTGTTCTTGGTGGTAGCCATATTGATTTGCTCCTCCTTTTGTGTGTTCTATCCAGTCAGGATAGAATAACGTTGATTTGTTGTGATTGGTAAATTTCTTGCATCCTTTATCAACTTTCTTATTTATTGTAATTTAGATTTGATCAATTGAACAATTATTGGTTGGATAGCTGAGTGGTTATATTTGTTTAGAACCGCTATCTTACCCAATTACTTTGTTTTGGTTTCAATCGGGCGAGGGCGCGTATCTAACTCATCCAGACAGCTGTCCAGCAGTCCAAACGTAGTTTGGATCTTAGGTACCAATACACACTGACATGCTTCATCCTAGCTTTTGAACAAAATTTAATAACTCAAACATCGTATAATATTGAGTTATTTTTACCTTCATAACAACTCTATTCTTTTGATAAGAAAATGTGATCTTCATCACACATACACATCTTATTTCTATGTTCTCGTATTTTTACACTTATACGCCTTGTATGCACTTTTATGTGTTTGTCTATCACTCACCATTTTGTACGGTGCTTGTCTCTCTAAGGATTATATATTTTGAGCTACATTAACGCTTGTAATGAGTAGTATAAAGAGTTGGCATGCTTGAAGTTTTCTCTCAGCCTCCCCTCTTCGTGCCTTTCATTGTTTGACTAAGGTAACGAGTGTATGAAATACACGTATCCACAATTCATTGTCGTATTTGACTTATTATATTCCGTTATTCTTTAACGCAAATCAAGTCAATAATTAATTACAAGGGTAGGCAGTTCTTGTATTTCGCCATGAACATCATTCGATCAAACTAGAGTCGGATGAATGGGCCACTGAATACCAATTAGACCGCAACCCTACGCATCACTGTTGAGCAACCAAGATAATGGAACTTATCACTATGCATTCGCCTCCTTGACCACGAGAAAACATTGAACATCGTGGAAAGGTTAACCAAGTATTACTTGTTTCAACACTACGGTTTAGTTAAGAAGATTGTCACCATTATTCAGAATTCATACGGCGGACTACATCACACAGAGTGTAGACCACAGATACATTCCGAGGGAAGACATAAAGAGATTGCATGCTCTTGTGATTGTTCGTCATTTACTCTTACAAATTGTCAATTCTTGCATATTACCTATTATTCTTTACTATTGTCCATTATTCTTTCCCGGGCTTTTGAGGAAAGACTTTGCTGAATTGCGGAGAGTGGTGAGGGCAGTTAGCAAAGTGTGTGGTGAATCTTCCGGGGTCATAATAAATATGGTTGTGGATAGACATCTAAAGTCATGCAAACTCCTGACAGGTGTTATTTTATCAGATACTAATCATCCCCTTCACTCTTATTTTTCTCCTTGTATATCTTCTGGTAGAACGAGACGTAATTACATTAAAATCCATGAACACAAGCAAAAGGATAAAAGTTCTATAATACCTTACCTAGCAAATATACCTTGTGACAAACAGGTTGTTAGAGTTAACTTAGTCAATAACCTGAATTCCGAACATATCTTTAATTTGGAAAGTTGTACAGTTTTTCAGATTTTTTTCAAACATCTTTTTCCTTTCTTTTTTGTCTTTTTTTTCGTGCGAAAGAAACTTGTTGAAATACCTTGTGCTGAGAATTCTATATTGTACCAAAGTATAATATTGAATAAAGCAAATAACAATAATAATAATAATAATAATAATAATAATAATAATAATAATAATAATAATAACAATAATAATAATAATAATAATAATAATAATAATAATAAAGACTGATGTCAGACAAGGTTGCCCACTCTCATCTTTTATTACTTCTGGTGTTTAACGAAGTACAGAATACATTGGACAGTTCGGATGGAAATAGACGACTTAAACTTCAGGTGACCCGGCTCTTACATCTCATACCCACTAGCAAATATAGATAAGGGCAGTCAATACGTAGCAGCCTCTGAAGCAGTAGGCCACAACATTATCACGGGAAAAAGCAAGGTCTTGGAATGCAACAACGAGTGCCAGCCAATTAACACTTCATAAAGCTCAGAAAGTGGTGGAAATTTTACGTTACTGGACAGAATCGTTGATTAACAAGGGAAGTCTGATGTAGATGTAAAGGTACAGTTTGGCAAGGCAGGAACAGTATTCTTGCAGTTGAGGGTTATCGGAACTTAACACAACTCTCAGCCAACATCAAAGTTTGAGTTTAAGATGCAAGGATTGAGAGAGGTCTATTGTTTAGAGCTCGAACTTGGAGAACTATTACAACAGTCGTCGAAGAGGTACAGGTATTTGTAAACATTTGTCTACACAATATACTTTACACCAGCAGGCTGGAAACACTTAGCAACAATTTACCGTGGAAAAAGATAAACTAGCTTTTAAATGAATGGTGAATTGGAAAAACGTGTTGGGGATGGATAGGACACAGTTTTATGAAATCTTCAAACTGCATCACAAAACATACCCTTGCTTCAAATTTTCAAGGCAAAAGGAAAGACGGTATAACAATCGACACTTTGTAGTGGGAATTGGAAGCAGGCATTAAAAGAGTAAAAAGCACTCGGAAACGACTGAAAAGAAGAGTCGGGGACAAATCAGTTTACAGATTCCTGGTCGGTGATGCTTGATTCATGAGTAATGAAAGGCGTAACGAAGTTGATTAATTTGTTAGATTTTTTTTACAATTCCTACTTACCATGAGACATTCGGATTGTTTCTGAATATAGTCTATGATAGACATAGACTAGTTCGTCATTTCTTTTCTAATAACAGTTAGATATCCAAGAAAAAATACATGACTTGTGAAGTATTAATTACCGATCATCTCAGATATCCGGGTACTTCCAGGATAATAAGCAACTAATTTTGAGCACTAGCATAACCAAGGAGACAACATACGTTTTCTATTGGTATTGGAGATTATTTTTTCTTGTAGTAAAGCTATAGAGTTTGAGAATACCTGCAGTACACTGATCAAGTTAAATACTACCTTATTTAGATTTAGATGGTGGTTGGAGGTAGTCAACAGGAAACCCTGAACCCGGGTTTCGTGCTACTTGGCACTCGTCAACAAGGTGTACCTGTAATCTTGAGGGAACTGATGCTCCCTGGCGGATTCGATCGCGTGTCAGCCAGCTTCACAGTCAGAGACGTTACCACTGAGCTATCCGAGCCACTAACCTCCTTAAGGACTGAGATGTAATCACAATTGATTGATCACTGGGTGGTGATCAATGCCATGCTTGTCTAGTCCTTATTAGTGCAGATCGAATGCTATCGATCATGTTACCTTATTTTTTTGACTAATTTTTCACACACGAAACTTTGATGTCATTCATAACTACAGGTTTATTTCAAATGTCGTTGGAGATTTAATCATTTGAAAATACCCTCATCAATGCATCCATACTGGTAAATTATAAAATGTATTAACTAATTAACCTTTTCTATCCTACTCTAGCCTATTAGCCTTCCTCCTTCTCTAGCACAGTCTAAATAGTAAACAAATTCTCTCCGGGTAGAGTTAGATTTAGGTGAGAATCGAGCATAGTAATGAAACAAACAGAGTAATACCAGACTATCAAACGTAGCGATTTCATTAAAATGAATTTATTATCGTTTGCTTTTGCTGACTTTTAACTAACCAATACTTTTATGAGATATATGTCCAATAGTTCATAATGTTGTATTTGTCATAACGAAATACTTTTAAAAAAATATATTTATTTTGGGTATCAACTTTTCAAATGAAATAAGATTGAATATAACGAAAATTAATAGTTTACAACTATGCAAATATTTGAATATTGAAATATGATCCAGATATATTGAACGAAGATGAATTGATCAAATCTTTATTTAGAATGTTTGAAACAAGATGTACTTCATGAAAATAAAGATAAACAAAGTAATTTGCAGTGATTTGATTAAATATGAGACAGCTTTGAGTTAACACATAAGCTAACAGTTGCAAATAGCTTGAAAATGCAATGATTATTTCCAGAATGACAGAAGTTTACTGTTTGTTTGTTTGGTTTTTTCTAATAGAACTAAATAATTAAAGACTCCTAACATGATCCTGGTTACATTAAAGAACTAAACGAAAATTCAATTTGAATGGACGCGAAATTGGTTCAATTAATTCATTCATTTGTTTTTTATTTAAAACATTTAATTCAATAAAACATTGAGCATTTTCTGAATCAATTGCATAAGAGAATGTATTGAACAATGTTCCAATGCATGAATATCTAGTACCAGTGGAACCATTTATTGATGCAGCTAATCCTGAATGAATTTGTATTGGTCTATAGTCATTTTCATTAAAATATTGAAAATATTTTATTCTATTAGGCTCTAAATAGTTGATTGCAACACCTGGAACTTCTGGTTCTAAATAACATCTATGAAAAAACATTATGAAAAATTATAATTTGAGAATAGAAAAAAAAAACAAAATTTTTTATAAGGATGGACTATGGGTGAACCCAGGGAAGCTCTAAGAAAATCAGAAAGACCTGAAGACATTCCATCCAATCGTTTTTTTTTTGAAGAACATTCCAGAATATCGATGTGTAGTTTCCCTATGGGACAAGTACTAAAAACCACTGTATACGGATTGAATGACTATAATGGTGATTTCGTTTTTACTAGAAAACTATAAATACCTGAGAGTTTTGTATCATATTTGAAAGTGTTTAGAAGAGGATTCCTTCATGTTCGTCTTGTGTCTTCTTATCTGTGACTTGGAGGGTGAAATTACGGCAAAACTCGTACTTATCAATTGTACGTGCTAAATGTCATTATACCAATATATATATATATATATATATATATATATATATATATATATAGTGAAATAGTTTTACGAAGCGACAATATCGTTCGTAATCCAAATTTAAGGCAAATATATATTGTTTATTGTCATTGTTAAGATAAATCATATACCATTATGCTTTGAATACGTTTGTATGTTAAATGAAACTGTACAATAAGCAATCTGTAATTCATATATTAAATTCAATTAATTGGAAATAGTAGTTATAGCTGAATAATATGAAATTCATTTACTTCATAGATTGACTGCAATAGTTTACAACTTGAAAACATAATTATTAATGTTCTTTATACAAAAGTATTAATCCACTAAACGAATGTTTTTTTCTCTTTTTTTCTTTTCTTCTTTTGAAGAACTTTCAATTCTTCTTTTTCGAATGTATCTTCTTCTTCTTCTTATCATTAATTATAATAGTCCAATATATCCTGCTGTTATCTTTAGTATGTACATGGTTAGTTTTCGTCATATTCAATATGGAATAAAGCATCGCGATATTTTTTTCTGAAAGAACTAACTGTTGAATATATTCTTTACATGCATTACTATACACTTTCATTTAGAATTAGGTTTTCATCAATTTTTATTTGTAGTTGAACTGGTTAACCAATTATTCTATGATTGTCAGTTAGATAAATAACTGACATAAGGAACAATGTATGTTAAGTGATTTAACTTATCTATGAATACTAACACGAATATTGATTTCATTTAGATAATGATACTGTAGTGTATTCTACTGATGTCAATAGATATAAGTAGTATGTATCGTTAGTCAAAGGTGAAATGCCTGGTGGCAGAAGATCGAAGAAAAAAGAACGAGAACAAAGAATGATTGGTGTAGAAACGAAGGAACAATGAAATCTGAGACGATTGATTGACATTTTGCAAATGAATTATTTACTATATGGTTCTCAGATTTTGCTAAGACATTCTGTAATTGCAAATTGTTTCACTTGTACAATTATCCTAACAATTTCGTATTAATAGTTTTCAATAGCTTGACAATATACTATTTTTTGGTTGAGATCATGAATTAATTGATGTTAGACCACCGTTGGAATCCTGGAAGCACTGGACGGCCGTTTCGTCCTAGTATGGGACTCCTCAGCAGTGCGCATCCACGATCCCGCACCCCGCGGGATTCGAACCCAGGACCTACTGGCTTCGCGCCTGAGCACTTAACCATTAGACCACTGAGCCGGCATCTAGTGGTGTTAGTGTCTAACATCAACCAATCCACGAAATTACGCGACCAACTTCCATTGTACTGAGGTAGATACCTGTCTCTACCCGACACGGTAGTCTAACATCAATTAATTCATGATCTCAACCAAAAAATTAACAATCTCCACAACATCATACTGATACTATTTTTTATTTTTAAAATTTAAGATTCATTTTATGCTGGTATTACCTTAAACGCGCAACATTTGAAATACTGATCTAAGAAGATTTTCTTTATATAAAAGTGCTCTTGAACAGAGAAGAGTTTTAATATATAATCAAAGAATATCTATTCATTATATCTCATTTGTTTCCTGCTATTAATCACTTTAGATAAAAATCTAGCTGCTTGTAACAACACAGAGAGGGATTTTTTTCTTTTTCCTTTTTGTAGTTACTTCCTGTTAAGATCGAAAAATTGATTGTAAATTATGTCAATCAATCATAGCAACAAAGAAATTAGCCGTGTTCTACAGCAATAAACTAGTCAATTTCTTAATATATTTCATTTCAGCTGATAATTTGTCATAATTAAGTTACATGTAAGGTATCATATATTACCGTGGTGTCGACTGAACAATATTTAAATCTTTAATGCAACAAACATCTTTTGAAAATTGCAAGTCTTTTTTAAATTGATACTTTTAGATAAAGATCAAAAGGTTCAAATAATAACACTTGATCTGTTGATCTTAAATTCACTTTATAAGCAAAATTGAATTTTGGCTAGCAGTGGAATTCAAGACGCATGTTTCGTCCTATTTAGGACTCGTCAGCTGGATGAAAATGTATCACAGACTTGATGTTTAGTCTGAGACTTGAAACCAGTACCATAAAATTCACTTTATGATAATCAATTTCAAAAGTTAACTTACAGAAAATCACAATTTGTATCTCCATAAGTAAATAAAACACGCATAGTTTGTTTTGGTTCAATCCAAATTAAGTAACCAGTTTCAGAGCATAAATGTGGTATATCTGTATACAATCCACTAAATACCATAATAAAATAATAATAATAAAAAAAGATACAAAATATACATATATTCAAAAGTTTGTTAACAGTAACAAGTCTTATTTATAGAAAGATGAACAGAATAGAAGTTTCATGAATATAACTAGAAATATGTTCAAATGATCATATCTTCAATGGTTATCTGTCAATAGAGATATGAGTCCGTATGGTGTCCAATACATTTTCTTGGACTAAAAAGTTGTTATCAAAAAATAAACTTGAACTTTTATTACAAAAATTGTTTTGAAAAAAATGGAAATATGAAGACATAATTATAACTTGATTGATATGAAATGGTGAAGGTCTCAATGGTACAGTTATGTAAATTTGTTATACAGTAAAGAATTACTTCAGAGATATTTTACATGAGTATGTCTTTAAACAAATATACTATATTGACATTCACAATCAATAAGGAATTAGATATCTAATAATAATCTAATTAAATATATATGCAAAGATGGATAGTGGCTAGCAGTAGAACCCAGGACTCGGGTTTCATTCTATATGGAACTATCAAGATTCAGTAGCTAAGTGGATAACGTGATGGTGCTTGAAGCGAACGGTACTGAGTTCGAGTTCCAGAGTGGAAATCAACTCTGAGATGTAAGTACATACGGCTGACGAGTCCCAAATAGGATGAAATGCAAGTCCTGGATTCCACTGCTACACACTATCCATATTTGCTTATAAAGCCTGTGAATCAAGGCAATATCGAGGCAGTACGCACAGTATGCACATATGTCAATAACAGACTGATCAATTGCAGTCCTAAACCTCGAAGGGAAGATTCAAATGAACAATATCAAGTGTAAGTAGCTATATATTTGTATAATCATGGAGTACATTGTAAACATCAGTTAAATCAAATCAAATATTATCTTCTTGTCTCAGCACGTTTAGATATGTACATTCATCCAGCATTTCTTTATTAACTCTTATAATAATTAACTTAATCATGACAGGATTTCACTGTTGTTAGATTAAGCAATAAGACTGATGAGTTTATTTTTAGATTTTATTGACTAATCACAAACTTTTTTCAATAGTTGATTTCATGAGTTAATCTACGCTAGACCACAATTGAAAACCTGGAAACACTGGGTGGCCGTTTCGTCTAAGTATCGGACTTTTCAGTAGTGCTCATCCACCCTCATGTAGGATTACTACAGTTACCACTGTAGTGAACGAGAACACAAATGGAAACAATCGAATGTATTTGAATGCAAAATTACAAAATATCTTAGTAAAATCTGAGAACCATATAGTAAATAATTCATTTACAAAATATAAATCAATTGTTCTTTCATTTCCACACCAACCATTCTTTGTTCTAGTTCTCTTTTCTTTCATCTTCTTAACCTTCTGCCACTAGGCATTTTAACTTCGATTGATGATATATACTACTTATATCTATTGACATCAGTAGCAGATACCACACTACAATCTCCATAAACCTTCATTCTAATAATAATCATCATCAACTGACATTTAAAAGCCAAAAGATGTTGTCATCAGAGTAGTTAAGTGATTAATTTTCTTCATTTTAAGTCTTAAAAAAATAAACAATTAACTTTAATCACTCAAGATTGTAAGTATTCACTTTAGAAGAAACCAACATTGTATTTCATAAGTTTCCATTATTTACGGATATGAACTAAATCATTTTAAACATGTGAAGTAAATCTCAAATGTGGTTTATTTTGATGAGAAGTAAACATTTAACTTATTCAACATAATATTTTGAATACATTGGATTTATTTAGTTATACTGTCTATAGGCAATTAGAATGATAGTATTTGACATAACCTAGGAAAAAAATCGGAGCCAGTTAGAAGAAATTCGGATTAACACAACGTAAGGAAGAAGGCAGAGACAATAGATGAAAAACCTATGATACCATGTATTTACATACAGTGACGTTTATTTGTTTCATTCTTATTCATTAGTAGTGAGATGATGATATGTAATTGGGTATTGAGGAAAGTAAATTATCTTAGGTCACTCATATTCCAATCAGTTACAAACTTATCCATCATATTGATATTGGAAATTATTTAATTCTCATTTTGTTGAATAATAACCACGTCTGAGAAAAATTGATATGTCGTAGAATTTTTTGATGGAGTTTTTTGTCTGAGCTGAATGGTTTGGTCGTGGAGATGTAATCGTTCTTCTGAGCAACATCATCAGCACAAATTTATACCTGAAATGATGATCTTGTTCAGAAGAACGATGAAAGCTCCATGACCAAACCATCCAGCTCAGACTACAGAACTCCATCAAAATCATCCACCTAAACTACAAATCTCCACCATCTCAGTGTCGTAGAATTGTTTATTTTTGTTAATTCATATTACTAAGGAAACCATTTCATCATACCGTGCACATGTGTCTTGTTATATAAATAAATTAATTGGTCGTAGGTTTAATTTTCTTTTATCAATTCGAAATTCTTAAAAATCATTGTTCTATTTCATATTACTTTATAATAATTAAGTAGGTAAAAGAAACAAACAAAATTCTCTTGCATTTCATAATCGAGTAACATATGATGCATTTTATTAAAATATTTCCTGAGCAGAAAAAGGAATCAATAGTTTTGATGTACTTGCCCGGCATAAAATGAGTATTTAATCGTACAACAAATCAACTTTCTATGTTGATGTTATCGTTTTACTCAATAATGCACGAAAGTTGACTCTAGTAACCAATGATAAGTGATCATACAAATACGGTATAAAATGGATATAAATGAATAATTAGATCGACTTAAAGTTTTACCAGACACAGTTTACATCAGTAAAAATTTTTTTAATAGCCCATTAGTTAGGTAAAAAAAAGGTAGAACTACATACAATGAATTAACTGGTTGATGGCTTTAATATGGCTGACGTAAATGAATTAAATTCACAATCTAATTGGTGTAATTTGTTACTTTGTACTACATCAAGAGACCTTAGCGTGATTATGCAAAATGACTAGAGTCGTATTTTTAAACCAATAATTAACAGCTTAGTGGTTTATGGAAAAACTAAGGACCCAGAGTTTCATTTTCTATGCGATCTTCGATAAACGTAGCTGAAAAATCACTGATTATTAAGTAAAAGCTTACAAGTTTTGTATAGTCTTTAATTGTTCTTCAGCTATTGCCAGTATGTAATAGAAACTATGCTTGCATATACACATGAGATAGACTACTGATTTAAAATTTTCCTGAGTGGTCAGTACTTGAATGTATATCAGTAAACAGAACATCTGATTATAAAAGATTTTTTTTCTCATGAGATTAAAACTGGTCTCAAATGTGCTTGCTACTGAATGTTGCTAAGTAAAATCTCAGCTTCATTAGATTTTTAATGGGTTTTTTTTCTAGTGGTGTCTGTTCCTTATGAAAACTATCATCGATGAATTTAGAAATTTCCATAGAACTATTTCACTCAATAACTTTGTTATTTTCTTAATTTATTAGGATTATGAATAAGAATTAAACAAATAGGAATCAATTTTATGTTCGAGATACCAGATTCATTTGTACTTTCATTGAAACTATGTCTTTTTTTCCTATTCTATTATTACTTATATCAAACTACTTGATTAGCCAAAATATCTAATGAATAGATAATTAATTTTTAATTAGATATACACAGGTAATCAATGGTAATTGATTTGATCAATATTTCAATTCAATTAAAAACTTTCTTTTATGACAGTATTGTTTTTAACATCCTTTAGATCAAATATAAGATTCACAAATCAGGAGCAACTTAATAACTGATTGATCTAAAAGAATGTATTTATATAAACACAGACTGATCAACTGCTGTAACACACCTTAAGTAGAACTTCATGGAGACAACTTACACTGAAGTTGTATTTGACAATGTTTGAGCCTCAAAATTACAGAACTTCAGACTGTTGTTCATTCAGTGCCAGTAAACATTTTGAAAATCAAAGTTTCCATTAAAAAAACTTAATTATTTGAAAATAAGATGTAATAATTGAATTCATAAGTCGATTAAAGCTAGACTACCATGGAAAACCTGATCGTTTCGTTCTAGTATACGACTCCTTAACAGTGCACACCCACGATCTCGCACGCGGGACTCAAACCCAGTACCTTCGCTCTCGTGCAGCAACGCTTAAACTCTAGAAAATTGAACTGGCATTCAACGGTGGTAATGTTTAACTTCAACCAATACACGAAATCACTCCACCGTTTCCTGATATCTTCAGTGAGTTATCACCTCACAACAGACACGGTTGAACTCCACTGATCACGAATTCTTACCAGAAATCTAGGAAGTCCATCTTGAAGAAAGTCATCAGTGAGCACATGATGATTATTATCAAAAAGGGGGCTTGTGGAGATTCTAATAATTTACTAGTTGAATTTATGGGTCAATTAATGATAGACCACCAAGTAATACCTGAAAGCATTGGACGGTTTTATTGTTTTCGTACGAGACTCCTCAGCATTGAGAATTTACAATCCCGCTCATGGAATTCGTACTCAGTACTTCCAGGTTTTCCATGTTGATTTAGCTTTAATTGTCTCATGAATTCAGCTATTCAATCTTATTTTAATTAAATATTTCACTGGTCGAAATGATGAGTCAATTGAAGCTAGACAACCATGGAAAACCTAGAAGCACTGGATGGACGTTTTTTTCCCACTATGGAACTCTTCAGTTAAGCTCTCACGCGCAAGACTAATAGGTCCTGGGTTCGAATCTCGCAAGACGGAATCGTGGATACGCATTGCTAAGGCGTCCCATACTAGAACAAAACAGTCGTCCAGTGCTTATTATTAATTAAATAAATGTTAACTATTGAAACTTTGAAATTGTTTTCTTAAATAATAAATGTCATTCATTGTTCAATTATCAAATGAATTCCATTTGATCAAATTGAATAAATATTGACATTCGTTTTAATTTTAACATATAGAACTATGATATCATTACAAATATGAA